TGACATAAACACACTTATATTGAATCCTCAGGGTAGCCCGATGGGTTCAGTATTATCACCACTTTACAGAATATGAAATGGTCACTCAGAGAGGTTAAATCCCTGCTCAGCGTCATGCGTAAAGTAAGACCAGACTTTAACCAACATTTTCTATGTCTTCTCTCAGTGACTGTCCCCACATCTAGACCCCTGGTAATGAGCACCAGGTTGCTTACAACAGTTTCCAAATCCGGTTTCCTTTTCCTCCTCAGGCCACCAGTTCCCTTTTTGCAGCCTTACCACTGGGTCTCAGCCTGTGTCCCGGGAGTGGCCTCTGTGGGCAGGTGATGTATTAACTCCCGTGACTGGAAGTGCAGGCCCAGAGTCAGCACTGAGTTATTTTCTCTGCAGTGACACCTTCTCAGTCTTTGTGCTCTCTTTGCTCTGCATTCCAGGAGCAGCTTCTATTTTTTAGTAAACCAATCAAGAATAACATACATATATACATGTTTACTAATTTGGATGTAAATTAAAAAAAATAAAATTAAAAAAAAAAGAAGAAAAAAAGAATAACATACATACAGAAGAGCGCACAAATTATAAGTGCACAGATAATGAATTATGACACAGTGAAGACATTCATGTAAATTATCTTCTGATACAAAAAAATCAGGGGCGCCTGGGTGGCTCAGTCAGTTAAGCATCCGACTTTGGCTCAGGTCATGATCTCACAGTCCATGAGTTTGAGCCCCGTGTCGGGCTCTGTGCTGACAGCTTGGAGCCTGGAACCTGCTTCCAATTCTGTGTCTCCCTCTCTCTCTGCCCCTCCCCTGTTCATGCTCTGTCTCTCTCTGTCTCAAAAATAAATAAAAACATTTAACAAATTAAAAAAAAAATCAGAATATTACCAAACCCCGTATGCCCACTCTCAGTTACCCCCACCATGGTAACTGTTATCCCAAGTTCTAATACTGTATATTAGCAAAGCCTGGTTTTGAACTTCTTTTTTTTATTTTTAAAAAAAAAAATTTTTTTTCAACGTTTATTTATTTTTTGGGACAGAGAGAGACAGAGCATGAACCTGGTTTTGAACTTCTAAATGGGATCATGCAAAATGTTCCTCCGTGTGTGTCTGGAGTCTTTCTCTCAATTTAGACCATACATGCTGTTGCATGTAGCAGTAGTTTGCTTGTTTTCATTACTGTATACAGTTGGATATTGTATTATTTCATGATACCAATATAGCACAATTTATTTATCCACTCTGCTGTTGATGTATATGACATCATTTCCAATATTTGGCTATTATGAACATTACCATATATGTCTTTTATGCATATAAGTATACATCTCTGTAGAGTATATACCCAGAAGTGAATTGGACTACAGAAAAGGCATACGTTCAGTTTTACTAGAAACCACCACACAAAAGTGGGCGTATCAGTTGCTCCTCCCTCCAGTCGCATATGTGGCCAGTGGCTCCACATCCTGACCAATGTTGAGTATTGCTAGTCTTTCTAATTTCAGCCATTCTGGTAGGTGCATAGTAGCACTTCATTGTGGGTTTAATTTGCATTTCTCTGTTGATTAATGAGATTAAGCATCAGTTATTAGCATCCATATGTTAATTGGCCATTTGAATATTCACTTTGGTGAAGTGCCTGTTCAGGTCTCTTGCCCATTCTTATTGGATTGTCTGCCTTGTTCTTAGATGTGTAGGATTTCTTTATATACTCTGCCATACTTTGTTAGTTTTAGGTATTGCAAATATCTTCTCTCACTCCTGCTTGCCTCTTAGTGCTCATTGTGGTGTCTTTTTTGTGAGCAGAATTTCTTACGTTTAGTGTACTCTAGTTTATCAATCTTTTCCTTTACGGTTACTTCTGTGTCTCATCAAATAAGCTACCATGCCATGGAAACTTGTGCAGATCACTTCACCTTTTCTGTACTTGGCAAAATGAAGAGTTGGCTCAGATATTCCAATGAAAATTGGCTTACAGATATTTTGAATTTTACACATCAGTAAACTTTTTTTTTTCTAGAGAGAGTGCAAGTGAGCTGGGGCAGAGAGAGCAAAATCCCACGAGGGGCAGAGAGAGAGGGAGAGGGAGAGAGAAGCAGGGCTCACTGGAGGCAGGGCATGAGATTACCCAAATTGGGGCTCGTGCTTACATGATGTGGGACTCTAACTCATGAACCATGAGATCATGACCTGAGCAGAAGCCAGATGCTTAATAACTGAGCCACCCAGGCGCCCAATAAACTTGTTTTTAAAAGAAGACCTGACATTGGGGCGCCTGGGTGGCTCAGTCGGTTAAGTGTCCGACTTCAGCTCAGGTCGCTATCTCGCGGTCCGTGAGTTCGAGCCCCGCGTCGGGCTCTGGGCTGATGGCTCACAGCCTGGAGCCTGCTTCCGATTCTGTGTCTCCCTCTCTCTCTGTCCCTTCCCTGTTCATGCTCTGTCTCTCTCTGTCTCAAAAATAAATAAATGTTAAAAAAATTAAAAAAAAAAAAAGAAGAAGACCTGACAAAAGTTTGTCGACTCTTCATTTTGGAAAATCATAGTGTTTGGGGTAAAAAAAAAAAAAAAAAAAGGAAAAAACCCTTCCATTTAGTCTCACTATTGCTTTGTAAAAGAAAGAGCATTTGAACATCAACATCACTGGATTGTACTTGCTTTACTGCAGAGCAGTAAAAGTATTGACCCTGACTGGCATGTGACCTATGACCTGTGATCTTGATGACCCCTCAGGTGTCTGCTTCTAGCTCCAACACTGCAGTTTCATGAATTTCATCCTGGCCTTCCCTTTACTCTCCATTCTTAGCTCTTTGGTTCTTGGACCAAAGCTCAACTTTTGGTACTTCTTAACTCCCCCAGAAATGTATGTTTTGAGCTTTGTGTTTCTATCTATGGGGTCAAAGACCAACTCAGTTTGGCTAAGTAAAGACTAATTACAGTTATTGGTATTTACATTTATCCTTGAATCAATGCCCAGCATGGAACCCAATGTGGGGCTTGAACTCATGACCCTGAGGTCAAGACCTGAGCTGAGGGGCACCTGGGTGGCTCAGTCGGTTAAGCATCAGACTCTTGATTTTAGCTCACGTCATGAACTCATGGTTTCTGAGATCCGGCTCCCCGCTGATCAACACAGACCTGCTTGGGAATCTCTCTCTCCCTCTCTCTCTGCCCCTCCCCTGCTCTCTCTCTCTTTCTCAAAATAAAATAAACATTAAAAAGAAAGACCTGAGACCCTATTGAACTTGTGCCCGTTTTAGTCCTCCCTCTTTCCTCCACAACACACACATTCATTCATTCAACAGTAATTTGTTGAGTGCCTACACTATTTTCCAGGTGCTCTTCCAGGTCCTAGGAGAGGAAGTGACAAGGACAAAACTTTTGTCTTCATGGAATTTATATGGTGGATCTATGTTTCTCACAAGCTACAGATCAGCTGCAATCAGCTGTGAGAACAATTTTGCAAAAGGATATTTACGAACAAAGGATGTATTTAGTCTGTTCAGCCTCCTATACCAAAATAGCATAGGGTTGATAGTTTATAAGCAACAGAAATTTATTTCTCACAGTTCTGGAGGCTGGAAGTCTAAGGTCAGAGTGCCAGCATGGTTGGGTGAGGGTCCATTTCTTGGTTCATAGCCAGCTCCTTCTTGCTGTGTCTTCACATGATGGAAGGACCAGGGATCACTCTTGAATCTTTTTGTAAGACACCAATTCTAGGGGTGCCTGGGTCTCCTGCCCTGTGCTAAGCATGGGGCCTCCTTGGGATTCTCTCTGTCTCTTTCTCTGCCTCTCTCTCACTTGTGTGTACACACACTCTCTCTCAAAATAAATTAAAAAAAAAAGACACCAAATTCCATTTAAGAGGGTTTCACTATCATGACTTAAATATTTCCCAAAGTCCAACCTTTGGGGTGTTATTTCCCCTAACACCATTGTCTTTGGGAGATAGGATTTCAACAGATGGAGTTTGCAGGGATCCAAACATTTAGACCAAAACCAGGGGGAAAATTCACACTGTACCAGGCAAAAGAAGCTGTATACAAAAACTTTGTCAACTTGTGCTTCATTCGGAAGATTGACTTATTGAAGTGTCTTTTTCAGTGGGAGCTAAACAATGTTTGTAAAATGAATGCATAAAGCCTAATCAGCAAAAAACAAAAACAAAAACAAAAACAAAAACAAAAACAAAACAAAACAAAAAACTCACCTGGGAGGCACCAGCCTGGCTCAGTTGGTAGAGTGTGCGACCCTTAATCTCAGGGTCCTGAGTAGTGAATTTAAGCCCCACGTTGAGTGTGAGACTACTTAAAAACAACAACAAAATAAACTCACCAGGATCCAGTCATAGTTTCACAAAATCAGGTTTGTTGATTTGGAGTGGGGGAGGGAATTCCGGAGGAATCTTGAAATGCTGCACCCCAAGACAAGGGAGGAAAGTATCTTTTTAAGGTTTGGGTTCCAGCTAAAAGATTTTGGAGAGGGTCGCAGGGGAGTGGAAATCAATGCAGGAGTGGTTGCTGGTTCTGACATTGGATTAGAAGAGAATAACGAGAGGGGACTGAGTGCTGCCATGAGGGAAGGTGGTTTTAGCAACTGGGTATCCCCAGTACTAAACGAAAATAACTAACTGGGTTTAGAGCATCACCGGCTGCTTTTTTTCTCGTTTGGGACAAAAGATTTCACTCATTCTGGTTTGGCCAGGTTTTGACTCTTTCAAAGAAATTTGTTTCCGCGCGTCACTTTCGAAATTAGATATTACAAAAAAATTATATAAATACACGTTTGTTTTTTAACCTGCAAAAGAATTCTAGTTTTATAAGGCCCACTCCGGTGGCCGAGAACCGTGGCCCTGGAGTAGAAGCCCCAGGGACTCCCTAGCTACCAACCTTCTCTGAGCAGCTCAGGGATTCTGAGCCTGGAGGCACTCTAAAACCGGATGTTGACTGTCTTGCCATAGTAACAGACGCAACTCCGGAAGTTACGTCAGAGAAAGAGGAAGTGAAGCCGTCTACGGGTCCACGTGGGTCCTGCGCGTGTTTCCAGGGTCCTGGTAGCCGGTGCTTTAATCTCGGTCCGGGTTTAGAAGACATGGGTCGTTCTGGGAAGTTGCCTTCCGGTGTCTCGGCCAAGTTGAAACGCTGGAAGAAAGGCCATAGTAGCGACAGCAACCCTGCCATCTGCCGCCACCGCCAGGCCGCCCGTAGCCGCTTCTTCAGCCGGCCCTCAGGTAGCGGGGTCGGGACCCCGGCACGCTGGCGGCGGGATTTTAGCGGGCCTGGGTCTGATGGTCTGGGCCTCTCAGGAGGCTCCGGGGTCCACGCATTGAACCTTTCTTCTCCTAGAACGTCGGATGTGTAGCCTGAAGTAAAGGCCCACTCTCCCCATTAGATGCGGAAACTGAGTCTTTAATAGGGAAACGACTAGCCCAGGGTTCCACGGGTGTCAAGAGTTGGGACTCGGCTATAATTAACTTTGAGTGTCTCTTTACAAAGTGCTTTCACAAAGTGCATTTACTTCCCAAGCCCCTGCGTGTTGTCCCCCACCCCGGTCGACTCCCATCGGCATATTATAACGTCGGGACGCGGGAGCAGAAACTTACCTGAAGGGTTCCGTATCTGGGTTTGCTAAGTTAAGGACGTAGGGTGGGCTGATGAGGCAGGCCATGTTCAGAATGAGTCTCTCGAGTTGGGGGCCTGGACTCTGGTAGTTTTTGTCGTATGGGTGGATCCTAGCCAAAAGGAGGTTCGGCTAGAAGTGGGGGCCTCACCCGTGCCTCCGGTTTTCAGGAAAAAGCGACCTGACAGTTGATGCGGTGAAGTTGCATAATGAGCTGCAGTCAGGGTCCCTGCGTCTGGGCAAAAGCGAAGCCCCTGAGACGGCCATGGAAGAAGAGGTGGCCCCCGCTCTCACGGAGAAGTCCTCGGCCACCTTCCTGAGCGGCCTCTCCGACTGCACAAATGTCACCTTCAGCAAAGTGCAACGCTTCTGGGAGTCCAACTCGGCTGCCCACAAGGAGGTAGGGGGGAGGGTTCAGGAGAACTCGGGATGGTGAGGAGGAGTCAGACTCAGTATCTTTATTTTCTTCCAGTGCTGGCTGGCTGCTGCCGGTGACAGCTGGTATTTTGGGATGATGCGTCATCTCTCCTGCCCTGTGTGTTCTCTACTTACTAGCTCTCCTAGGGCAGGTTCCACTTTCTGCTTTTGCCAACAACATCTCCCCTACTTAAGTGTAAAGTCCTTCAGGGTAGAAATATTTTCCAAATACTTATCTTGTCAACTATACCTAACACAGGACTTTTTACATGGAATAGTTTCAAGAAACATTTGTTGAGTAAATTAATGCTGAATAACAATGGATAGGAAATATTTTATCTAACAAGAGCTACATGTTATTTGTCGTTTTTAGTTAATACTTTTAAATTATACGTATTTATATTCACTTTAAATTGAAAGATGTCAAAATTATAAATGGTACCAAAGTGAAGTGAGTAGAATAAAATGTGAAAGTTGTTCTCCCCACTTAATTCCTTCGTGGTAGTTACTGTTGATGGTCATCATGTATCTACCTGGCCCAGCACTGTCCAACAACACTTAATTGTGAATTTTTTAGTAGCCATGTTAAAAGAAAGTAAAAAGAAGCAAATGAAATTAACCTTAATAATACAGTTATTATATGTAAAGTATTATCATTTCACCATATAATCAATATAAAATGAGATGATTTGGGGTCCTGGGTAGCTCAATCGGTTAAGCATCTGACTCTTGATTTTGGCTTGGGTCATGCTCCTGTGGTTTGAGCCGCGCATAGAACTTGGGGTTCTCTCTCTCTCCGCGCCCCCCACCGCTCCCCCCACGCCCCTTCACTGCTCACACACACACCTCTCTCTTAAATAAACATTAAACAAGATAGAATAAAATGAGATGATTTGCATTATCTTTATCATATTAAGTCTTCAAAATCTAGAGTATATATTACCCTTACATCTCCATTTGGATGCTAAACCTTCTTTGGAAGTACTTGATTTCATCCTAAAATTTACAATCACAAAAGTAGGTTCATATTTCCAAGTTCTAAATCTATATTTTCATAAAACTTATAGACGCAAAAGTAGATCCATGTATCTAAGTTGTTTTAAATCTGTATTTTCCGATAACTAAAATACTTATTTTGAAATTTAATTTATTAAAATATTAAGATTAAAGATTCAGTTCTTCAGTCACACTAGCCATGTTTCAAGTGCTCAGTAGCCTCTTGTGAACATTACTGTCCTAGACTTTTGTGTATATTTTTTACCCACATTTTGTTAGGTTTACAGATCATATTTTATTTTTATTGTTATTTTTTGAAGGCTTTATTTATTTTTGAGAGAGAGAGAGAGAGAGAGAGAGGGAGGGAGTAAGCACACAAGTGGGGGAGGTGCAGAGGGAGAGGGGGATAGAGGATCAGAAGCAGGCTCCGCACTGACAGCAGAGAGCCTGATGCGGGGCTCGAACTCACGAACTGCAAGATCATGACCTGAGCTGAAGTCGGATGCTCAACCAGCTGAGCCACCCAGGCGCCCCCGCCCCCTGATTATACTTTATATGCCGTGTTCTGTGGTTTTTTCCCCACTGAACAGTATTTCTAAATTAATGTAGTGTTTTCCTCACTCTTTTCAGTAGTTGTGTAGTATTTGAGTCTATCATTATTTACCATGTAGTGATAGTACTTTATTAATCCTCTGTTGATGGCTGCTGTATCGTTCCAGTTGGTTGCTGCAGTGAACACGCTTGTGCATAAACATTTGCAATTTTCTGCAGGTGTTCCTGTAAGAGACCCGAGTCCTAGAGGTGGAATTTTGGCAAACATGTCTGAGTCTGCCTGTTTGCTAGGCCTCATGGTGTGTACCCCTGGCTCTGATTGCAGCTCATCTTGTCTTGTCTACCTGTAGGCTTTGTCAGGAGAACAGTTTGTGAGGGAACAAGGAAAAGAGGCCAGTCTCCGGACAGGCTTAGATCTAAATAGATGTCATAAGTGCCTTCTCCCTCCCGTGCAGATCTGTGCTGTTCTGGCCGCTGTCACTGAGGTGATTCGCTCCCAGGGAGGGAAGGAGACAGAGACTGAGTACTTTGCTGCACTGGTGAGTGGGTGTGACTTGGGAATGGGTGTTCACAACAACAGGTGACTCGAGCCGTAGGGAGGAGAAGGGTGCTCCTGGTGTGTGGAGATCAAGCAGGACATCCTTGAATAGGGGAAAGTGCTTCAGGAGCGTCTGGCTGGCTCAGCCAGAAGAGCATGCGACTCTTGATCTCGGGTCGTGAGTTTCAGCCCTATGTTGGACCGAGAGATGAACCAAACAAACAAAAAACAAATAACCAAAAAAAAAAAAAACACATCAAAAGTGCTGTCATTCTCGGGGGTTTGATAAGGCTGATGCTATTTGCTACACTGTCATTCTAGAACAAGAATCCACTACTCTGGTGGTGGTTGTTGGTGAAGTGTGGCCAGGGGTGGGGCAGGGTTAGGGGGCCAAGACCTTTGTGTGGGGCTAGGCTATCAAAATTATTTCTATACTAATACTAGAACATGATTTGCCTTTTCATCTCATTCTTTCATGAGTGTAATGTGGAGTTTTCTGGAAGTTACAGCCTGCCTGATGATATTATTCTGACAGCTAATTGTGCTTGCGTATGCTTGTATTTTAAAATGTTCTGGGTTTTAATTTTTAATATGGTAAGTATCAGTAATATAACCTATGTAAACAAAACCTCTTTGGGGAATTCTCCAAAAATGTTAAGCGTGTAAAAGTTTGAGAACCACTGCTGGAATAGGAGTTGGCAGACTACAGCCCATGGGAATAACCTGAGCCATGGCCTGTTTCTGTACAGCCTTAGAGCTGAGAATGGTTTTCACATTTTTAAAGGATTGTTCAAATACAGAAGAATATACAACAGAGACCGTATATGGCCTGCAAAGCCTAAAATATTTATTACCTGGCCCTTTACAGAAAAAGCCTTCCAGCCCCTGCTCTAGAGTAATGAAATAAATTAGATAGCAATGTATGGTTTCTATCACGTGCCAGGCATGTTGTGATTTACTTATATTAATTCGGTGAAACCTCACAACTTACTATCTCTATTTTACAAATAAGGGTCCTGAATCACAGAAAGGTTCAATTGCTAGCCTAAATCACACACTGGCAAAGGTGGGATTTGAACCTCTGACACCAGCGTTCTTGGTCAGAACCATTCTGCTGGGCATACGGTGTCCTCAGCACCCCATTTGCCCCAGCTTACACATTTCCCATTCGTCCCCTGTGGTCTGGCCCTCAGATGACAACAATGGAGGCAGTGGAGTCCCCTGAGTCTCTGGCTGCTGTTGCTTACCTGCTGAACCTTGTCCTGAAGCGGTGAGTTCTGGCTCTGGTTTGAATCCCAAGTCGCTTACGGAGAAAGGAGTGCAGGCAGGAGGAACAGGATGAGGGAATTGTTAAAAAGAACAAGAGGGGTGCCTGGGGGGCTCAGCATCTGACTCTTGATTTTGGTTCAGGTTGTGATCTCACGGTTCATGGGATCAAGCCTCACATCGGGCTCTGTGCTAGGCCATGGAGCCTGCTTAAGATTCTCTCTCCCTCTCTCTCTGTTCCTCTCCTGCTTGTGCCCATGGGCATGTTCTCTCTCTCTCTCTCTCTCTCTCTCTCTCTCTCTCTCTTTCAGCAAAAAAAAAAAGACCAGGACCTTAAGTATCAGGTGGCATTCTGATGAGGCTCCCAGGGTGGCTCAGGATGTTGTACACAGAGTGTGAGCGCTGGTGCCTGGGAAGGGGGTGGCCCTGCCCAGTGAGTGGGGCCGGAGGCACGGGCTGGGATGTTGGCACCAGGATACCTGGAGGCTTGCAGGTAGGGGAGGAGGTGAGGAGAGGATTGAGGTGAGCTAGTAAGGGCCCACCTTGTGGGTAGAGAGAATGGGTAGTGAAGAAGGTGCGGAGGCACAGAGTTCAGGTGCCATGGAAAGCACACTGAACTGCTCACTTGCTGAATTATTGGGCCAGCACTGCCTCCTGTCTAGCTTCCTCCTTCAGACCCGGGCTGGGCCTGCACCAGCTGCTTTAGGAGGCCCCTTGGGGTTCCGACCATTTCTCTTCTCTCCCCACAGTGTGCCCAGCCCCGTGCTCGTTAAGAAGTTTTCTGATACCTCCAAAGCCTTCATGAATATCATGTCAGCTCAGGCCAGCACTGGCTCCACCTCTGCCCTCCGATGGGTTAGTGTCTGGGTCTGTTTCCCCTCTGCCATCTTCCAGAGCCCCACAGGTTTGGCTGAAGCTTGGATACTCCCTGGGTGGGGCGGCGGAGGGAGGATATAGGCACTATGTGGACCTCAGATGGATCCCCGTGCAATTTTCTGGAATTGATGAAAACCTGGGCTCTTTCCCCACCTGGCTGAAGCGGGTGAAGCTGACAGACTCTGACTCTCCTTTCAAGGTCCTCTCCTGCCTGGCCACCCTTCTGAGGAAGCAGGACCTGGAGGCCTGGAGCTACCCTGTGACCCTGCAGGTGTACCATGGGCTGCTGAGCTTCACAGTGCACTCTAAGCCCAAGGTGAGGCTGCTGGGCCCCCAGAACATGGAAGGGGGATGCGGTGGCCACTCTGGTAACTGCGCTGGGGCTGGTCTGTCTGAATGGGATTGGGGAGGTTGCCCTGAGGACCGGTTTCTTGCCTGGATGTTCTACTTTTTGCCTCTGACGCCTTATTTGCTTAGCTCTAGAACGTGAGGGGCAGTTCCTTGTCCTACAGGAGGGATGCTCAGTGTCCGGCCCTCCTGAGTCTCTGCTGCCTCGCTGGTCAGTGACCAGTTTAGCTGCAGTGGCAGGAAGGGGCAGAGTGGGGCTTTGGAGTCCCACAACCTCAGTTGGACACTGGATTTACTGCTTGTGCTGTGGTCTTGGGCAAGTTACTTAACCCGTCCCAGCCTCGGTTTCCTAGCTATAGAGTAGGGATAGTAATACCATCCTTGCTGCAAGGGCGTGTGGAGACTCCAGTGTCCCTCTCAGGCTGGCGCAGTTCCTGGCTTATAGCAGGCACTCAGTAAATGGTGGTCAGCCACTCCGTTCCCTCCTGAAATTTAGGGCAGGGAGTACATAATAGTAGCAACAGTCTGTGATCACTCAGTGCTCAGCACACCATCCCAGGTAGGCTAACGCCTCTTTCCCTGTGTGTACATGGTGCTCTTTCCCTCACTTTCCTCAGGTCTCTGCTGAAATGTCACTTCACTGCAGTGACACTTTCCTGACCACTGTATAAAAAGTAACAACCCTTGCTGTATGGTCTGCAAAGTACTTTTACCTTCTGGTGTATGTTTGTTTTCTGTCTCCCAAGTACAGTTGTGAGTCGTTTGTTCCGGTCAGAGCCAGACTGCCAGCTCCGAGCACAGTGCCTGGCTTGATGCACACTTGGTATTGCCGGGTGACTGGCTGAGTAAGCGAATCCCTGTAGCAAAGATGAGAACACTGAAGCTCAGAGATGAAGCGTTTGGCTTGCTCAAGGCCATTTGCTGAGTTAGTGGGAGAGCGGGGATTGGAGCCGAGGTTTGTCTCATTCCCCAGCTCAGGAGTCTGCGCACAGGAAGGCCTGGGCACAGCATCGGCCATGTAGGAGGCATGCCATCAATGCTTGTCGGTTGGTTGTGACAAGCACCGAAGCTGCTGGTTGAGTGCTGACCCGGCCCCAGCCCCAGCCCCTTTTCCTTGCCCCTCAGATCCGGAAAGCTGCCCAGCATGGAGTGTGCTCGATCCTCAAGGGTAGCGAGTTCATGTTTGGTGAAAAAGCCCCTGCCCATCATCCTGCTGCCATTTCCACCGCCAAGTTCTGCGTCCAGGAGATTGAGAAGTCTGGAGGTGGGAACCAGGTTGACAGCAGGGTGGATGGGGGTGGAGGACGGGGCTCGCCGTGGAGAGTGGGCTGGAGGCTCAGCCCCCTCTTGTGTGCCAGGCTCCAAGGAGGCCACCACCACGCTGCACCTGCTGACGCTGCTGAGGGACCTGCTCCCCTGCTTCCCAGAAGGCCTGGTGAAGAGCTGCAGCGAGACTCTCCTCAGGGTCATGACCTTGAGCCATGTGGTGAGCTCAGCCCAGGAGCCAGAGGAGCATGCCGGGGTGGGGGGCTTAGCTTCAGACCTGGGCCCCTGGTGCTGATGCTTGGGAACTTGCTGCTCAGGCCAGAAGCAGGGCCTAGGGTCTCCCTATCCCAACCCTGCTCTTACCTACAACCAAGGACCCCAGCCATCGCTGGTGTCGGATAGACCAGGCTCTCTTCACGGTCCTGGTCCCGTTGGGAGCTGGCCTCAGGGAGCAGGTCAGGGGAAGGGAGAGCTGTGGTAAGGCTGGTACGGCGCCAGCCCTCTCCCGGCTTGAGCTCTGTTTCAGTCACAATCGCGGTTCTTTTTTCTTTCTTTTGCTTATTTACTAACAGATCCGTATAGTGGCTTTAAAGATGCAGAAAACGATTCTCTGCATTTCTGTCACGCTGGCAGAATTCTGTTAATCTTTATGTATCCTCTTGTAGCATTTGTTCGCATGTGTGTTTTAAAGTTTGCGTCACATAAATCACACGATCATTGTTTAAAAGGAAAAACTCATTCTGAACAACTTGCTGTGTATCCTTTCAGACTTTTTTTGGATAAACCAACACAGATAAAAACATGAAAATACAGGCATAAATTATAGTGTGTACACCACTTATAGTCTGCTTTTGTAGCCTATTATGTTAAAAATATTTTATGTTTCTCTGTTAACTTTGTTTAAATTATTTCAAAACTTTCAGTGGTTGCCACGCCTTCCTGAAGTGACAGTACTCTGAGTGTGCAGGTGTGGGGGGCATGCTCGAGGTCTGGGCCCTGGGTCTCCCTCTAGCCCAGCTTCTAGAGTAGGAGGTTGAGGAGCCCAGGGCAGCCATGGGCTTTGCGGTTCCCCACTAAGCCTACGTGTCCTCTCCAGCTGGTGACAGCCTGTGCCATGCAGGCCTTTCATAGCCTCTTCCACGCCAAGCCCGGCCTGGGCACCCTGTCAGCAGAGCTCAACGCCCAGATCATCACGGTGAGGCCTGATGGTGGAGGGGCATTGCAATGCTGGGGCGTGGGGAATGGGGGAGACGTTACTTGTCTACAGAGTGAGGTTGAGTGGGCTGGATGGGCTGCCCCAGAGGAGGAGGCCAGTAGATGAGCAGACAGGAGGCAGGCATCCAGGAGACTGGCCACCAAAGCCACATCAGTGTCCACAGGAGCTGTGGGCCCTGACTCTTCACTTACTTAATAAACTATTTCAGTATTGTGTCGTGGTATAACCCACACCTTGAACAGAAGCTCTCGAACTTAGGGATCCCTGTATGGATTTGAGGAAGGAGGGCATAAACACCCCCCAAATTATTTGCAAAATGTGCATTATTCGCCCATGCACTTTTCCAGAGAAGGGCTCTGGGGCTTTTGTGAGATCCATAAGGTTGTGTGACCCAAGTTTTACTCAACTGCTTCTAGAGACTTTGATCTCATAGGAGCAGAACTGGAAGGGCTTCATGGAGTCCAGAAAGGCAGGACCTGGGAAAGCTAAGGGGGCTGTGAGTTCTAGGGCCACGTGTGCAGGCCTGTCACTGGGACGTGCTAGTGTGTGGGGATGGGAAGGGGTCATTGTCATTAGGCTGCTGTTAACACACTTGCTCAGTCATCTGCTTATTCTCCGTCCCATCTCTAGGCCTTATATGACTATGTTCCCAGCGAGAATGACTTACAACCCTTGCTGGCCTGGCTTACGGTCATGGAAAAAGCCCACATCAACCTGGTCAGGTAGGGGTGCGGTGGAGGGGTGTCCTAGGACCTCCAGCTAGGCTACCTGCTCTGCCGTACAGATGGGAGGGACGTGAGCCAGGAGCTGGAGAAGGATGGCGACATCTCCTTGTTGAGTGTGCTACAGACCAGCTCTTGTGGTTGCGAGGCACAGGGCAGGATGGTGTGGCCTGTGTCAGCTAGAGCCAGTGCTTTCCTCCCCGAGCAGTTATGAGCGAGCTCTGAGGGGCAACAAGATGGCTGAGAGCACCACACTAGGGTGCCGGGAGTGCCTGAGTTCCATCCTGGTTCTTGTCAGCCCCTGAGTCCTGTGTAGCTGGTTTCCTTCTCACACGATCTTGTCCACTTTCTGTGGCTTCACCCCTGTCCCCACCTAGGTTAATGGTCCCCTCCTCTGGGGTTCATGGTCCTGCATACCCAGTTTCTGCTGTGTGTCTATTATGATATATTTGAGCTTGGCCACTTCATAGTAGCTACTCGACACTCCACTGTTCCAGAATAAGGAGAGAAAATAAGTGTATCAGTTGGTGACTTACGTTTTACCTGGAACAAGGGTCTCTGAGTCCTGGTGGAGTGTCTTCACCATGCTATGTCTGTCCTCTGTCCACTGAGGGGTTCCTATCTCCCGCTCGCTCTCAGGCACCATGCTGAGTGCTTGGCATCCTTGCTTCCTGTCACCCATCACAGCCACCCTGGGAGGAAGGGCTTAGCCTGTCTCATGAGGCTGACCCAGAAGCACTGTGAGGTAGCTAGTCACGCTGCTCCTGAGGAGCAAAGGCAGGTCTCCAGCCCACGTCCTTTTCCCACACCATTCATCTTTTACCTGGAAATTCTGGAAAGTAGCAAAATAGCTTTGCAGTCCACTTCTCCATATTAATCTTACCAGGAGGCCTCCCACAGTTGTGCCATGATATGCTTCCCAGGCTATTTGTTATAATGCTATAGGTAATGACAACCCTAGAAACCAAGAAATAACCTAAATGTGCCCCCCGAGGGGACTGTTCACTATACAGTGAAATACTATGCAGCCGTTAGAAATTACCAAAGTAGATATGCGCATGCTGACATAGAAAGACCCCTAAGACACATCATGAACAGCGTGGATGGTAGGACTCTGCACACTCTGGAGCAAGACTTAGCAGGATGTGAATCCTGACGCCCTCTCTTACTAGCGGAGTGGCCTTGGGCAAGTTACTTGATTTTTCTGTGCCTTAGTTTCCTTACTTATAAAACGGGAATGGTAATGGGAATTAATCTCAGTGGTTGCAAAGATTAAGTGAACAAATGTGTGTTATATCCGTGCTTGGCATATGAAAAGTGGTAGGTAGATGTTAGCACATGTCATTACTTTATATGTTTGTATACGTATAACAACTTCTGGAAGAGTATTTGAGAAACCTAACCTTGATATTCCTCTGGGAAGTGCATCTGAAGGTCAGTCCAAAAGAAAGTTGTGATAATGGAAGCATGCTTTTTATTTTATACTCTGAAGACCTATTTGAGTTTTTCACCACATGTGGCTATTACTTGAATGACAGCACTTTTTAAAATTGCCCACTAGGGGCGCCTGGGTGGCGCAGTCGGTTAAGCGTCCGACTTCAGCCAGGTCACGATCTCGCGGTCTGAGTTCGAGCCCCGCGTCAGGCTCTGGGCTGATGGCTCAGAGCCTGGAGCCTGTTTCCGATTCTGTGCCTCCCTCTCTCTCTGCCCCTCCCTCGTTCATGCTCTGTCTCTCTCTGTCCCAAAAATAAATAAACGTTGAAAAAAAAAAAATTTAAAATTGCCCACTAAAAGGACCCTGTAGAACCCTGCAGATCAGTGACTGTCACTGGACCTGGGCTTCTGGGCCTTGAGGCCCAGGGCCAGGCTCCACAGAAGCCTTTTGTGTTGACAGACTGCAGCGGGACCTGGGGCTGGGCCACCTCCCTCGCTTTTTTGGAACTGCGACCACCTGCCTCCTCTCCCCACACTCACAGGTGGTGACGGCTGCCTCTCAGAGCCTTCAGGTACCCCCAGCCCCAGCTTTAGTGGGGGAAGCAGGGAGTGCAGAAGATTCTGCTGGCTGCCCTGTCTCTCCCAGAGCTCACCCTAGACCTCCAGCTGCGTCCTGGAGGGGAGGTTCTCGGCAGGGGGTGGGGGGGGTGGGCAGGATATCGGCCTAGAAGTGTCCAAAAGCAGTCACCTGGGAGGGCTTAGGGGCACTGGAGGCTGCTTTGGGTCAAACAGCTGTGGCCTCTTTTTGCAGGAGATCCTGAAGGAGTGTGTCGCTCCCCACATGGCCAGCATTGGCTCTGTGACTTCTTCGGCCTCAGGCCCTGCCCAGTATGTCGCCAAGATGTTCAGGTGAGAACGTAGCATCCGCGTTAGGAGGGAATAAGGTGTTCCTTGTAGAAAGTTCTGTGTAATGACAGGTGTTCCACTTGTCACTTGCTGTGGGCATGCGTGCAGTGCCAGAGCAGCTGCTGTGGATTCGAGCCCTGGCCACATTCTAGGGACCGTGATGTGGTGCTCATGAGTGTGGACTCTGGGCCAGTCATCCAGGGCAATGTGTAGACACCTCAGGATCCTTCGTGTCTAGATACCTCAGGATCCTCATCAAAGCTTACGAATGGAGGTGAGGATTAAATGAGGGAGTGTGTGGAAAGTTCTCGGAACTGTATCTGGCACATAGTTAAGCGCTCAGTTAATGAAAACTACAGCTAGTCCCTGTGGTACTGGGAGATCTGTACTGACCCTCAGTTTACAGGTGGGCCAGCTGAGGTCACCCAGCTAGGCAGTGGCAGCCTGACACAGAGCCCACTCTTATTCACACGCCCTGCTGCCCTCCACACCTGTGAGAGGAGCCATTCAGAGACATGGCCACTGACTGTCCTCACCCTCCCTGTGGGCAGTGAGGAGCCTCGGAGTACCACGTGGTCCTGGGAAAGTGGCTAGAGTCCTGGGTGTCTCCTCTGAGTCTGTCTGCTCAGCTCTAGGGTGTGATGCTTTGGGTCGTGCTACCTGTGAGGAAATAGGCCTGTTGCCTTTGGATGCATCTGTGATGAGGTTCCAGGCAAACCCAGAAATAGAACCACCCCAACCTCTAGCTCACCCCCCCCCCCCCCCCCCAAAAGGCCATTCTTTCCTAAAATCTCCAGGACCCTAGACTGGGAGATAGAGCCAGCCTGGTGCAGCTCTCCCCAGTGTGCCCAGACCATCTGTTCCTCCCCTGGCATCCCACCTTGGGTCAGACTGGGAAACCATGAGACGGTGACGGAGCATGGGCTTTGGAGGCCCAGTATGGCCACTGGCAGAGTAACCCTGGAAGCTTATTTCATCTCTCTGAGCCTCAGTTTCCCCACATGAAGATGGAAGAACTAATGTACCTCACAGAGTTTCTTTTTTTTTTTTTTTAATTTTTTTAATGTTTATTTCTGAGACAGAGACAGAGCATGAGTGGGGGAGGGGCAGAGAGAGAGGGGGACATAGAATCCGAAGCAGGCTCCAGGCTCTGAGTTGTCAGCACAGAGCCTGATGCGGGGCTCGAACTCACAGACTGCGAGATCATGACCTGAGCCGAAGCCGGATGCTCAACCAACTGAGCCACCCAGGCGCCCCTCACAGAGTTTCTTTAAGCAATAGGATTACATGAATGAAATTCAGCACGGGGACTGCTTCATAGATGCTAGTTTCCCCCTTGGGCTTTCCTGGAGCTCCACCCTTACTAGCCAGCCGGTGGTCTGTAGCCCCTGGTGTCAGCCATTGACTTCTTGGTTGGGGCCCAAGTGAGCACAGACTTGGCCCTGACTGCCTGCTCCCTTGGCAGGGCAGTGGAGGAAGGCCTGACGTACAAATTCCACGCGGCATGGAGCTCTGTCTTGCAGCTGCTGTGTGTCTTCTTCCAGGCGTGTGGGAGGCAGGCCCATCCTGTGATGAAGAAGGTGAGCTGGGGAGCCGCTGGGGCCAGGACACGAGGTGGTGACTGGGCTGTCGGACTGTGGGCTCCCAGAGAGGTCCTGTGTCTAGCACCTCTGCACTTTACCCCACTTTACACTCCCGATGGCGCCCACAGCAGGTGCCTAGTACTGTGTCTTCAGGAAGGTGACCGAGTCAACATGTGGGAAACAGAGGGGTAGGACCTCCCCCAGCCTCCTGTCAGGAGCTGCTCACTAGTGCTGGTTTGAGTGGATGGCTTTGAGGAGGGAACCAGTATGACTCTCTCACCCCTACCCACTATCTTTTTGTTTTTAATTCTCTAAATTTTCTATTACAAGGATTATAGTGTTTTAAGCAGCCTTAGGTCCCAGAGAGGTTATTACAGCTCACAGGAAACCACTTAAGGATAAGGGATTCCCCCAGGGATCCTCTCCAGCTCCAGGAGAGGGTAGGGGCCTCAGGTCAGGCCCCAGGCTCCTTAGCAGCAGCTCCCGGCCTCACGGGGCCTGCATCGACTCCCACCATTGCTGGTTGGAAGAAAGGAGCCACCCTGGGATGGCAGGGGCTTCCTCAAGAAGCCTGGCTCCTGATAGATCAGGTTGGCAAAAATGACTTCCTACAAGTGAGGCCCTGGGAGGCTCTGGGGGGCCAGAGGGCACAGCTCTGTCTTGAAGGGCAACCACCCCTCAGCGTCTGCTAATTTGCTAATTGTCACATGTAGGTATGCCTTTTTGCCTTTGCCAGAGTTTCCATTTTTCTTTCTTTTTTATTCTTTAAAAAAATTTTTTTAATGTTTATTTTATTTATTTTTAATTTCTTTTAATGTTTATTTTAGACAGAGAGAGAGACAGAGTACGAGCAAGGTAGAGGCAGAGAGAGAGGGAGACATAGAGTCTGAAGCAGGTTCCAGTCTCCGAGCTGTCTGCACAGAGCCTGACGCAGGGCTTGAACTCATGAACCATGAGATCGTGACCTGAGCTAAAGTCGGACGCTTAACCAACTGAGCCACCCAGGCACCCCTATTTTATTTTATTTTTTGAGAGAAAGAAAGAGAGAGAGAGAGAGACAGAGCATGAGTGGGGTAGAGCAGAGAGAGAAGGAGACACAGAATCTGAAGTAGGCTCCAGGCTCTGAGCTGACAGCAGAGCCTCACGTGGAGCTCGAACCCACGGACCATGACATCATGACCTGAGCTGAAGTCAGACACTTAACCAACTGAGCCACCCAGGCGCCCCCCACCCCCACTTAAAAAAATTTTTTTTTAATGTTTACCATTTTTCAAGATAAACTGGAAATCTACATTTGTACATGAAATCTGATTTTTATATGTTACAAATACAGAAATTTTTTTTTTGAAAGAGCATGTGCAAGCAGGGGAATGGCAGAGAGAGAGAGAGAGAGAGAGAGAGAGAGAGAGAGAGAGAATCCCAAGCAGGCCCCAAACTGTCAGTGTAGAGCCTGATGCAGAGCTCAGACTCATGAACTGTGAGATCCTGACCTGAGCTGAAACCAAGAGTCAGACACTTAACCAACTGAGCCACCCAGGCACCCCAGAATTTTTCTTTTTTTTTTTTTTTAATTTTAGAGAGAGAGCCAGTGAGGGAGAGGAGCAGGGGGTGAGAGACAGAGAGTCTTCAGCACCTCTGTGCTCAGTTCAGAGCACAACATGGGGCTCGATACCACGAACCTGGGATCATGACCTGAGCCAAAATTAAGAGCCGGATGCTTAACTAACGGAGCCGCCCAGGCGCCCAAGAATACAGAATATTTTAAAATCTTGGGGTTTGGGGAGAGGTCAGACTTCTCAACAGGTTAAATTTGGTTGTTGGTTTGTGATCTCTGACCTAGAGCTTAACCTGGACCCATGCTCCCGACCTCATCCTCTTAGAGACTTTGGCCCAGACTGAACTATGGGTGCCTGTTCTGTGAGCATGCCTTGATGTATATTCTCTCGTCTTTTGGCTCCAGTGCCTCCAGTCCCTGTGTGACCTGCGCCTCTCCCCCCACTTCCCTCACACGGCAGCTCTGGATCAGGCAGTGGGGGCTGCAGTGGCCAGCATGGGACCCGAGGTGGTTTTAGAGGCTGTGCCTTTGGAAATTGATGGCTCTGAGTAAGTGTGATCCTGTCTGGCTTTCTACGGGGCCCTGGGGTATTCAGCCAGCTCATTCTTCTCCAGCAGGGTGTTCACTCTCGGGGGTGAAGTCTGTGTGTATCACTTGGGGGTCAGCCAGAGAGGCCACGGCAGGGCTTGGGCTGCTCCTTGGCTCAGCAGGTGACGTGCTGCTGGGCATGCTGCCTTCTAGGATGTCACCTCCTCTTCACTGGCCCTTTTCTATGTCCTCCCAGAGAGAATCTAGATTTCCCGAGGAGCTGGCTGCTGCCTGTCATCCGGGACCACGTCCAGGAAACACGACTTGGTTTCTTCACCACCTATTTCCTGCCCCTGGCTACCACCCTGAAGAGCAAAGGTACGGGCCCCACCTGAGTCCTAGAGCCTTGACTGGAAGGAGCCAGGAAGGGCTCCTTGTCCAGCACCCCCAGCCCTGGGACACTGGGCAGCATCCCTCTGCCAAGCAAGTGGCCAGCCAATGCTTGAGGGCCTGCCTAAGGAGGCTGTCCCTCACTTTGCTTTGAGGCCTGGCCAGGTATGTTCTCTGTGGCAGGCTCACAATGGCTCCTTCTCTTGCTAAGGAAATAATTAGAGAAGTGCACACCGATTTATATATATGCAGGGCTGTTCCTAGTAGAAATCTGACACAACATACGTGTCCCTCAGCAGGGTTCTGGTGAATTTAGTCCCACTATGGGCCATGGCGCGGTCTTTGTGAGGAAAGGGAAACCTTGTGTGGGAACGGGCATGTTTAGTAGATGGTGAGTTGAAAGATTAGATTCAGATCTCAGCTTAGCCACACTATGGCTGGGTGACTTTGGGCAAGTTGATTTAATTCTTCTGGGTTTGCTCCTCATGAGTAAAATCAGGGCGATAATTGCCACGTGCAGATTAAATAAAAAAGTCACATACATACCTATTCTACAGCCTACCGCTTAGAAACCTTGTCAAGGTAAACTGGGTTTCAGAACATATATATATACAATACAGTCCTGTTTATTATGCTTTTAAAAGCGTGTATGTGTTTAAAGAAATATAAAAAAGTCAGAAGAAGTGATGACTATCCCTGGGGGAGTAAGATTATCAGGAGACATCCATTTCCTATTTTATGGGATTTCAATTTGTGGGGAGGGAGGAATCACCCAGATTCGTGTTTTCATTATTGGACTTTTGCTTTTGATAAAAATGAGGCCTGCTGGCGCAAAGGGTGCCCAAGGTCCCACTGTGTCCTTGTGTCACACTGCAGCAATGGACCTGGCCCAGGCAGGCAGGACGGTGGAGTCCAAGATCTATGATACGCTCCAGTGGCAGGTGAGGGGTCAGCCAGGGGGATGAGGGTTGGATGGTGCAGGGGCCTGAGTTGCTGGGCGTCACTGTCCTTTACCATCCCCCCTCCCCAGATCTGGACCCTCTTGCCTGGGTTCTGCACAAGGCCTACGGATGTGGCCGCCTCCTTCAAAGGGCTGGCGCGGACATTGGGCACGGCCATCAGTGAGCGTCCAGACCTGAGGGTCACTGTGTGCCAGGCCCTGCGCACCCTCATCACCAAGGGCTGTGAGGGGGGTATGTATGGGCTCTGGGGTTTGGGGCTAGTAGGGGAATGGTTGCAATGGCCCGGGTCCCCTGGCCTCCTCTACCTCACTGCCTGAACCATAGTGAATCCTCTGCAAGGACATGGGGCTTCTGCTGGGGACCCAAAGAGTTAGTAACACGCTGAAAGCTGTCCCTTTTCCCTCTACTGCCATTGTGCTGACATCTGCTGGGTGTTGTCCAGTTGGTGTTAAGGGCTTTAGTGGGTCGCTGGCTCTTGGCTGATGCACAGGACAGAGGAGCCATGGAGGAACATAGAGCATGGTGGCACCTTTTGTCCTGGAGAAGCCCCAAATCCGTAGGGTCCAGGTCCTGTCACGGGTCCTCCAAAAGGATGCCTCTGGGCTGTAGCCTCAGCAGCCCCTTTGGGGCAGGCTTGACTCCTGCCACTTGCATGCAAACTTTGGTCCTCCTGTCAGAGGCTGACCGTGCGGAGGTGAGCCGTTTTGCCAAGAACTTTCTGCCAATCCTCTTCAACCTGTATGGGCAGCCTGTGGCAGCCGGGGACACCCCAGCCCCTCGCCGGGCCGTGTTGGAAACCGTGAAAACGTACCTCACCATTACAGACCCTCAGGTGAGCTGGTGGAGGAGAGGGAGGAGCTGTCGGGTGAGTGAGGGCTGGGATGGGGGTGGTGGAAGGGCCTCACCCACAGGGCTCGTTTGGGCCTCTGCCACCTGCGAGACAGGCCACCAGATACCAGCGGTGGCTGGGTCAAGGCTTCTGAGTGGAGGGGGGCAGGGTTGGAGAAGAGAAAAGAATACAGTTCTGTGACCTGCTCCTGCTCTTTATTTCTCTCTTCACCCCCTCCCTCCTCTTCATCCCCTTGGGGGTGCCAGTTGGTGAACAGCTTCCTGGAAAAAGCCAGTGAGAAGGTGCTGGACTCTGCTAGCTCTGACTTCACCAGGTAAAATGCCCCACTTGAGTTGAGGCAGCCCAGGGAGCCAGAGGGTATGTCTAGCAGAAGCCCTATAGATTCTCTCTGGAATTATTTAGGAAAGTCTTGAGTTATTGAATGTCCCAGCTCTACCGTGAGACCTGTCTGGCTCCTCCTTCCTGGAGGGGCAGTATAGCCTCCTAGGGAAGGATAAGGACCCTGGTGACACATTGCCCAGGTTCAAATCCCAGCTCCACTGTTTAGAAGCTAAGTGACCTTGGACAGGTTACTTACCTACTCCGTGCCCTCTGTGTCCTCATCTGTGAATTGACCATGATAATAGTACCTCCAACAGGGTTGCCGTGAGGACTGAAGACTTTAAGACACATAAAGCACCTGGAACAGCATCTGGTACCTTACGGGTGCTGATTCGGTGGGAGCTGTGGTGATTGCTCACGGGCTCCTTCAGGACCCCTTTTCGTCCTCACTCTGACTTCTCCCACCTCCTCTGCTCCCAGTAGGTGTAAGACACTGATAGTCTGTGCCCTTCTCCAGCCCTTCTAAACCCATCCTTCGTCTCTTGCCCTGAGCAGATTGTCTGTCTTGGACCTGGTTGTGGCCTTGGCTCCTCACGCGGAGGAAGCTGCCATCAGCAAGCTGTACTCTACCATCCGGCCCTACCTAGAGGTGACACGTGCAGGCTGGAGTTGCACATGACCACACTTGGGGGAAGTGGGGGCTCTTTGGAAAGGCAGGACCTGTCTTCTCGTCTGGACCATACAGGCAGATACAGAAGTCCAGGGCAGGGCCACCTCAGCTCAGGAGAGGTGTCCTAGGGGGAATAACAGCTCCTTTGCAACAGCAAGGAGTTAGGGCAAGAAGGGGAGAAGAGAGCGCTGCAGCTGGAAAGGCGAGCGGGCACATGGCCTTGGTACATTCTGGGCATTGCAAGTTCTCCCTGCTGGATGAGCATTACTTGAGGCCAGTGAGTGGAACGGATTGGAAGGCTGGGGTGGCTTCTGTCCTTGCAGCGTCCTCTGCCTGACCCACAGCCTCTCACCGTCCATGCTCAGCCGGCCCTCTCCTCAGACCTCTTGAGCTCCAGAGGTGGGCTCAGGTTCTGAATTTCCCCAGTGCTGGTCACAGTTAATGGTGGCTGCTCTGTGACTGTAGTTGCACAGTGGCGTGTATATGTGTGTGTGTGGATGGGGTGGGTCGGGACCCCCAACCTCCCTTGCTCACCCATCCCTGACCACCATACACCCTCCCAGAGCAAGGCCCATGGGATACAGAAGAAGGCCTACCGAGTGCTGGAGGAGGTGTGTGCGAGCCCCCAGGGCCCTGGGGCCCGCTTCGTGGAGAGCCACCTGGATGATCTGAAGAAGACCCTGCTGGACTCGCTGCGGAGCACTACCTCGCCTGCCAAGAGGGTGAGGCCTCCAGGGCAGCCGCGCTCTGCCCACAGGACGATGGGTGACACCAGGAGAGGACCACCTCAGAGGGGCCTTTGGGGGCACAGGTGGGATTGAGGGGTCCTGACTTTTGTTCCGCCCTGCCCCACAGCCCCGTTTAAAGTGCCTCATACATATCGTGAAGAAACTCTCAGCTGAGCATGAGGAGTTCATCGCTGCCCTTGTCCCGGAGGTGAGGGGTG